CTCTGCAACACAAACATATCTTCAAGTCTTTTTTAGTTTACCTTGTACAATATTATAAGACAAGCCATGAGCCATGTCTGACGCATGTCCTGTGGTACTCTCACAAGTGAAAACTCTGGGACATGTGTTCGTTTCTGTGGCTTAGGAGCCGCGCAAAACAATAAAAGTTGCAGAGTGAGGTTGAGAAGTTCACTGCCCCATTCTTGATTTTGATCCAAAACTTGCACAATCCCTGCCATGTAGGCGTGAAAGACTGGGAACAACCTGTAAGGAAAAGGTTAATAAGCGCTTCATAGAAAGGTTGCTACGTGATGATCTAGATAGAATGGTAGTCTCTGAGCTAGATCCTCGTAAAAAGAAGTCCTATCACCGCTCCAACTTAGCCTTCAAAGGGCAGGCATTTTTGTAATAATGGATTTTTTTTCGAAAAGTCAACTACTAGTTCAGTAGTGTTTATAGCTGCGAGGATCTCTTATATTCGTTTCTTCACCGCAGTGCACATATATGATTTTCATATATCTACAGTCATTATTCATCACTTGGATGGTTTATTTGGACCCAACTTAATGACCAGCTCCCAGTTGGCTTGTTAGCTCACTTGGTGGAGCGCTGCACCGGTATCGAAGAGGTCATGGGTTCAAATCCCGTACGGGCCTGAATTTTTTTCAGGTCTTATTTCAACCACTAGTTCAGTAGTGTTTATGACTGCGAGGATCTCTTATATTCATGAAAATTTTTGTTGTCGCGGTACACGAAACACGAGACCTACAACGAATGTAACTACATCATGAAACAATCGATGTGATGTGATACAAAAAAATTGTACAGAAAATGAATAAAAATTTAAGTCGTGACATCTGTACCTTAATCTTCGCGGATTGCCGGTGAATTCTCCAACCTTGATATCATATCCCATTAGTACACCCAAGTAATGACTCATCTGAACGACCTCATAACTTTCTGTCTTAACAAACTCTGACCGCTCCCTTCCCTTGTTGGCTCCAGGGTAGCTCAGGAAGTCCATGACCAGCGTGACCAGCTGATGGGTGGCTTCAGCCTCCATGCTGCTACCCTCCTGACCTACACCCAGCAGTTGACTGAAGGAGGAGTCAGTGGAGGATACCGACTGACGCGAGATCTCGTTATCCTCCTCCTGAACAGTAGGGAGGTTGGACTGGATGCGACCTCCAAGGAACATACGGTCTGAGATATCGATGGATCCTGACTGATTCACAAAGCCACCTGTCCGCCGCTGTCGGGCGCCACTTGAGGACTTCTTACCTAACAATTTTACGATTCATATCTCAGAATAAACTCTCGCGATACGCTACCAACTGAGCTGAAGAGAGATTGCTGGCAAATCAAGCCAGATACTCGGTTTATAGGTGACAAAAGTACTGCACACTTCTATGAATAGCAAATGGAAAAAATAATTAATCCACACTGTCGCAAAAATGGCTGAGAGACAGACAATAATAGTTCAAGGCTTGTACCTTTTAACAGGCAACACACAAAAGAGTTCACGTTTTATCCAGAAAAGGAAGTTGAATGCTGAATCTCTTCGGAAATTATGATATTACCTTCTGTACCCGTTGACACCTTTCTGTTATATGAGACTCTCTCGCCTGGAAAACGAAACGTGTAGCTACAACGAAACGACGAAGAGGTTCGTCGAAGTTGACCCAAGCCGCTGCGAGCCATCAGGGATCTGGTACTGGGTTGAGAACGCAGAACAGTAGCTGGAGAGAAGAAATCAAAAGGAACTAAGTTTGAGTTTCTTACCAAACATAGTTTCCTGAATGCCTGTCCGACCTTACGCCTGTTCACATATATTACACCGCTTACTTATTAAGCATGAAACGCAACAAAGCTTTATCCTGGGTTATCCCTTTCAGGTACTTCTCAGCATGTCATGTAGTCTTCATAACAGAACTGCCGGCGATACTTAGACACCTCTATTTAGGAAACAACTCCAGAGGAAACGAAACGCTAGTTCCAAATAAAAAAATCTTCTATAGCCTGCGTATGTTTTGCCTGTTCCCTTCTTCCTTAGTAGATATCTACGCGATTAAACACAAAATAAAATTGTAAACCGACCTTTCAACAAAATGATCGACTACTTGTTCAGTGAATAGTTTTATATCCAAAGGAAAATATGTTTTGGTCCACGAATAGACTTTTCACTTTTCAAATTCTTTAAAAGGATGCAGAGGTATGAGACATTGGTAAGAAAGCTGGAAGAACATTTCATTAACCTTATCAAAAACAAGCCAGTAACAAACCGATTTTTCTTGACGAATCATTCCCTCCATCGACGGACACTTCACTGCTGGGACTCGGTGACATTGTCGTTGTACCAGATGCGTTACGCCCCCTGGGACTCCCCAAGGAAACAAAATCTGCGTTTTCTATCAGTAAATGCTTGAAACGACTGATAAAGAATTTTCCACACAGGGGAGTATGGAGGGGAAGTATTCGGTGTAATATCCGACAAGTGTGGATTAACAGAAGACGGTCCCGAGGCACGGCATCATATTGGTGCTCAATGCACTTGTAGAGGACTTTTAATGAGCAGGCTCTTATGGTGCCTAACATGTAGACGGCCCTTAGATGCACTGGCGTGCAAATGTCCTCAACTGCACCGACTAAATACGTAAAACAATGCGCCAAGGCTGACATGGTTATGTTGTTTGACTTGATGTGTTCTTTTTCGAGGAAACGCGCGATGATGGCCACTTTTTCCACGGCAGAAGACCGTTCTCGCCAATCATCATCGGAGAAAGCGCTCTCGACCTGATCACAGAGTTTTTCAGCTCCAAATGGAAGGCAGATACAGTGAAGGAGAATCTGTACACACAGATGAGACATCTCTGAGTGTTCGGCTTGTAGAAGCTCCCATATGCTGACAAAGAAATGTGAGATGAAATCAAACGTAGTCGCAGATACCCATACAGAAAAGTTAACGGGCAAGGGGAAAACTAAAACGAACAGATATTCACGCCATTGTAATCAAGAGCAAAGTGATAATTGTACCAAGCATTGGATCATGCAGTGTATATATTACAGTGTATATCGTAAAAAAATTGGCAGAAATTAATTGTGATAAACACAAGTAACGAATTGTCAATTCTTTTGTCTCACGAAGCAATCACTTCCCAATTGCCTTTCCTATAGTTCGTATAGTGTGATCGTCCGGGTGAGTGTAGTTCTTAAAAGAACTGTTGTTGGTGACTGACGTTTCGACAACCTGTGCGGAAGTCATCTTCAGAGTCAAGTGACTTGACTCTGAAGATGACTTCCGCACAGGTTGTCGAAACGTCAGTCACCAACAACAGTTCTTTTCAGAACTACACTCACCCGGACGATCACACTATACGAACTACTGATACTCCTGGGTTCAAACCATTTACTTTACTGTCTTTCCTATTTTGCCCTACGAGAAGAATTGAAATAATCTATTCAAATTAAACCTGTTTCACCCAAAGTTAACTCAGTTTTATCAAGCCTTTAACATCTAAGAGTAACCAGCATCTAATTTCTCCCACCAAAATCACCCCTAAATCAAATTTTCAAATGATCACCAACTAAAGAAGCTAAAGATCTTAAGAACAAAGAACTAAAATAAAGAACAATTTCTCTTTCTCAGCCCCTTAGGGAATGTATAGAGAACAGTATGGAGAATATGCATACTGATGTTCGGGTGTAAAGGGTTGATATGTTCAGTTTACACACAATAAACTCTGAAAAATGTAAGAAACAGTCCAAAATGAAGAATACGAGGAACGATTATCGATATTTAGGACGTCTCCAACAAGTGTGATTTCATGTCGTGATCAAACAAGGTCGTAGCCCAACTCTTAAATAATACTCATGGTATATAGAATCACTCTCACGCTAGTGTCTTACTTTGGAATAAAGAATATCTCTTGTAAATAAGCCAGGAATTCTGAATCGGCATCCATGGAGATCCGCAAGTAATCACCGCGCAGCACCAACACTTTAAGGCACCTCAAAATACTTAGCTGTACATTATGGTCTTCTTGGCGGGGGAGCTCCTATAAGAGGGACACAGAAACAAGTTACAAAAGTGCACCCACTTGGTTTAGCCTCATTAGGCCTAATTAACATTGCTTAATTAACTCCCCTTAAGAAGCCATGTTAGGTCACACGGGGCTTTATCAGAAATGGAAAACCAGAGAGAAGAGGTTAGAAAACGGCGAGTATCGAGAACTTTTACTGAAAAGCGAGGAAAAACAGAGAATGGCGAAATACTTGGCCACATCACGCTTGGGGAGCCTAATCAACCTCATACCTAAGAGAAAATGCGGCGAACGAAGTTGATCTCTAATAGCTGTCACTTATTTTAAAAAGACCATAAAGATGTATTGGATTTTAAAAGTCTCACATCTACAAGGTCAATTGGTATTTAGCGGTTACGGTTTCCATGGGGGGCAGAAAATTGAAGTAAAAGAATATAAATCCACGGGGAAACGACGGAAACCGACGACGAAAATTCGATCTATATCTCATGCCATATCAGAGAATCGAAGTCGGGTCACAATAGTGGAAGACATTCACTCTTACCTCTGCGCCAAGCCTCCTACCCTGCTTATTTGAGTGCAAAAATTCAACAAAGAAATACTACATAGATCGCCGTAGAGATTTCCGAAAATGCCGGTAAAAACATACTAGGTAAATTGAGATAAGTGCTGCAAATGGACGTTTACCTTAAGAAAACCTAGCAACAAATTCAGTTGAGGAAAAGTCTCGCAGACCATGCCCCAGTTGCTGGTACTTGTTGCACTTCTCCACGAGCCAATGCCAGCCGACATACTGCGCATGGCCGCAAAGGAGATGACGTTTTCGTTCAACTCTGATGGCGAGTCAGCCTCACTGAGAACACTTGCGGGCTCAGGATCATTGTCACCTTGGCAACTGTCTGTGACGTCAGAAACGTCTCGCTTAGTTTCAGTAAACACTTCCTCTTCGATTGTTTCCACTTGACTTTTGTTTGATGCTGGAAATGAACGACGAGTTTTTGAGTTTTTAATAACAAAGAAAGCTCCAACATTAAAACTTTAAAACACTCTTCAAGTAAAATTACAATGAGTAAATTTGCGCATGTCAAATTAGGAGTGTTGTTAAACGAGAACCAAAATAATCGCACCGGAACAAACAGCAAGAGTAAACTTAAAGTATTGTAAAGATTAACCCTTTAAACTCTAATAGTGACCAGCATCTAATTTCTCCTTACAATATCACCCCCAATCAAACATTAAGGTCATGAGAATAAATGAAATAATCACCAACTAAAGAAGCTCTACATTGCGAACCAAATTCTCCTTATCAGAACCTTAGGAAATGTATAGAGAACAGTATGGAGAATATGCACACTGATGTTAAGGTGTGAAGGATTCAATCAGAAACCAAAATAAATAGAGTAAGGTCCTAAGCGCGGACAAGTGGACGACCGAGTATTGAGACTGGTTTTAGTCTTGCACCTGATTGGTTAAGAAGAGGGAGCAACAAATCACATGATGAATTCCAGCAAAACCAGTGTAAACCAGGTTTTCTCTCGATGTTAATGGTGCTATTCGATTGAGTTTCGTGAAACCAAAACCAAAGTTATCACAACGGCCAATCACAAGACAGGAAAAATAACCCTAACAGTCAATAAGAACTCAAAGTAAAAACCAGCAGACTGCCTGAGGCGCGGGAGAATGGTAACGACCAAGTCGTGACAGGTTTTAGTTCTGTACACGGATTGGTTGAGAGAGAGTGGCACGAGTGTTTCCGGTTTAATTACAGAGCAAACAACGCAACGCAAACAAAAACAAAGAAATTCTGAATTACTTACGACACTGAATTGAAAATTGCTCCAATATATAAGAGGTACTCTTTGGACTTACTCAGACTCCTATTGGATATTCCCTTATTACTGGACGCACTTGATCTAAACAGTCCACCATATGCCACGTGACTTGGCACGTCCTCTTCAGGTAACGCGACTCCTTCAGGGAACACAGTCTGCAGCAACATGTGCGCAAGCTTGAACCATATGTCAGTCATGTTACACATGTCACACACAGTTGAGTGGTCGCCATGGCTACCAGCCCACGACATGTCCAGCATGCACTCCAAAAGCTTTTTTACGTGTTCTCTTTCGGTGCTGTTGGGGACATGTTTGTCGCGAATAAATTGAATGTTGACCTGTGAAACAAATACAACAATAATTCGTGCTACCTTTATTCATGAGTTCGCCTCTCATGCAAAGTAATAAATGCAGAATCTTTTGGACGGTTTAGTGAAAAACGTCAACGAATTTTCAGCAAGTTCGTTTGTGCCACACACTTTCTAAAAAAAGTGCGAACCATGATTCTTGTCAAATACAACACGCGAATCTGAGGCAAACTTTTCCGGGGCCAATTTCTGTAGAATCTCTACAGCTTGCAATGTACTTAAGTCGCGCATCTAAACACCGAGCATCGTTTCAAACCGTTGCTTAACATACCTGTTTAACCAGTAAATCTAGTTCCATGATGAAGCAAGACAGGTTTGAACTTAGCTCGCCTAGTTCTGACAACACACCACTGACCGGTGTTGAAATAAGCGAGCCCTCGGCGGTTGGAGTCATCGGTGACTGCACGGTGAAAGTCGGAAAAGGAAACATGGTGGTTACTCCTTCAGAGAATTCTGATGAGTTTTGAACAACCTTGATAAAGATACTGAGCAGCATGTCCAGTGGAATGATTATATCCAATTGTGACAGAATCTGTGAAAGCAAATAATAAACACCTTATAACAATACCATACAATAGCAGTCAGTTTCACTCCTGAGAACTAAATATCTATTCTCTGCATCGTCTGTCATAGATAGTCTTATAATTTTAGCTCTGATAATTCAATTCAAAATAAAACACTACCCCTTCGTCGATTATATTTTTCCTTCTCCTTATCTTACTGCTTCAAAATGTATTTTGATGTTTTTATGAGAAATTTCCTTTTGAGTCATTCGCTGGAGTGAAATGGTTTTAATGCGCTGGTTTTGTTGATCGACATTTTAGCAACCCGACCGAATATTGTCTCAGGTGTTGAATAAAACCGCAGTCAAAGGACTTTAAGTTTGGAAGGTTTTATATGTTTATTCTTAAATGAGGTCATGACTATTTTTCAGATCAAACTTACAGCAATTTTCCGCCTCTTATCATAATGTTGTGCCCTCAGTGAATTTAATTAATTGAAACAAAAAAATTAAAATTTATTTACCTGCAGCCATGAGAGTGCCTCAACCTGATGGCGAGGCACAGCAGACTCGAGAGCTTTCTTTATGAAACCCAGAGTAGTTTCCGGCGTCAACTTATGCGGTGTCAGCAAAGGGTCGAAGATTTTCCTGAGGAGGAAAACATTAAAATAGAAGCGATAAACTGAAAATGGGAACAAGTAAAAGCTACAACCGTGTTACTAACTGAATCAAGCCATTTTTCTTCCCAAACAGACTTTGTTCTACTTCGGCAGGTACGTGTTTTCTTGATACCTTTGATGGTAAAACGTATATTATAAACCTTTCACCTTTGTTTAATGTAGTAACCTCTTGTAATGTACTGATTAAACCATAATACAGTACATGGTTCGAACCCGAGATTTTCATTTGATAGGAAGTTTGATCTGAATGCCACTCAGGTTTTCGAAAAGTCAGTCAGTTCTACCGAAAACAATCCTGCTCAGGAGTACACTCACCCGGACGATCAGACTACACGGTCAGATTAAAACACAAATTCGAGACCAAGGCTTTCCTTGTAAAAAATGATGAAAAATGACTGCCTTGTATTTGCTATCAATTTTGTTTTCTCCGTTATGGACAAAGTCCCAGGCCCAGCTTGTTGGGTAAACTCACGTTAACAACACTTTAAACCTTGCCAATTCTTCGGGCTGAACATCTGCCTTGATCGCTTCCATCCACTGAGGCATAATAACATCCCAAACCTGAGGACAACAACGATAAGAAAACATTTCAAGTATGGTACCACGCCCTTCTGAAAGCAGCGACGGGCTAAGGCTGATAAAGAACCACAGGCAATAAGAGTCGCTGCTTACTACGCACCTCGCGGGTTACAATATTGTGGGGTATCACACAGCACAAGCGATGAAGTCCCTCCATGTGCTGTCGTTCCTTACTGGACATTGTATCCCAGCATCCTCCAACCTTCACATATCCCGGAGGATCAGGGGACAGGCATGCGCACAACAGATCGAACTTGTTATCTCGAACTTGCGTGAGCCATCGACAGACATACTGACTAGTAAGCCTTTTCAACAATTCGCCGACATAATCTCGTCTTAAAGTTGAGGCTGTCTCTATCCATGACAGCACCATGGAAACCAGTCGGCCCAGTCTCTCCACAGATTCACACCTGGCTGGTTCACTGCATACTCCGACCAGAAGCCACACACCCAATCTACTCAGCATACGCCGGTTGTTTATATCATTGTCTACATCGTCTTCAATTTCCTCCTCCTCGAGTTTACTCCTTACCAGTCTGGGAAAAAAGAAATTTCAAATTTCTTGTAAAAACACGAGTGTATTGTTGTTTTCTTCCTCCAGATTCAATCCAGCAAAGAACGATTTCAAAGGCCCCATAATCAGATACTTTATCAAAACCCACACAAAAAAAAACACTTAAGATTGAAAAATGCTCAGTAAAGCTCAGCGTCCAAGTGTATCACGGCACAGACCATTGGTGTAATTGATTTGTGGTTTGGAATGAACACGAATACATTTTCTGTTTAATCATTGAACGGGATGAAGCCTAGCAGGTAAGTATAACACTGTAATTGCACTTTTGAAACCAACAAACAACGACCACCCCTGTCCAACCATCAGTTTTCTCTCTTGTGCTGAAATCTAATTTAATTGTTACAATGTGTCACGTACCCCATGGCCTCATTCCTTTTTTTCTGACAAGGCTGTGCTTCTCCCAGCAGGCGAATGACTGCCTCAGAGGGGTAGGCTTGGTCTGGGCCTTGTAGAGTCCAAGGATCTGGGAAAAGATTCTGTGTCACATGGTGATACCCCTCACCAGTGCTGTGATAACGGGCGTGGCACTCCTGACACATTGTCAAAGGTCTTAATCTGCAAGCAATAATGAAAACAATCAGGATGTTACAGCACTTTTTCGTAATACATCTATCGATGAAAAAAAAAACAAACAGCAATCTCAGTGAGAGGTTACAAAATCAGTGTTGAGAGGCTACTCAACGTCATCTAGGCTTTCGTAAATATGTAAAATAACAAAAAACACTTTCTCCAAATCTGAATAAAAAGTAGCACAGGCCACCAAAATTCTGCATAGTGTTCGGAGAATTTTATGATATCTTATGTATCCACTGAGTGAGTGGAAGGGCCGAACACGAGAACATTTGGCTCGTGGTCATGTCGAACGCACCGAGTGCAGTGACGTCAATACATCTATAATGAGAGCCCAATATTTTTCCGTCAGGTTTGACCAAAGTAAGTCTATAAGTATTTTATCGTATAACCTTTAAGTCTTCAACATTTTGAAATTATGTTTGAGCTTTAACAAGACGTTATTACATAAGTATACACAAGAAAAGTACGCACTGGACAACTCTGAAAATTATTCTACATGGAAAAGTGTTCCTTTCTTTCTTTGAGTCACAGTGACAAGAAACTCTGACAAATATTTGTTGTAAAACGAGACTTAAAATCCCATTTCTGCTTCATTTAAAGTTTAAGTTCACAGTTATAGTTCCCATTCTGAGAAAATGATACAGAGCCGTGTGATTGCGTGCCTGGCAGCTTTTTCCAGACCAGTTCTTGTCAACCCGTCCAGCTCTACACATGTCAACCTTCATCGTGGTTTTCTTTTAGATTATGCGAACGAGTCAGTATAGTTCAGATGATAAAATGCCTAATCAACATTGCTGTTAAAAACTTGCTCGAAGTTGCCATTTTTCCCCCTTTTTAAAATCATGGTTGAAATCCTTGAAGGAGGGAAAAACCTCTAAGATCTACCTGTTATCTTTGACGCAGCCGTAAGAAAAACACATAACACTGCACGGTTTTCCTTGCCCTTTGCACTCCTTTGTTTCACAAGTTGTACGCATCTTTCCCATTGGCTGGATAATCTTCACCAAAAGCTTCTCTTCAGGGATGTCACGAGCAGCCACCTCGGCACATTTCTGGCAAATAAATACTGGAGGAGAACAGCCGCACTTTGATGAGGCAAACGAGGCATCCAAGCAAATAGTGGTTGGTGTATTTTTTCGAGGTACCGCGCACTCCTGGTTTTGACAATTTGGTGGATGCCAGGGTTCATAGACAAACTGCCAGTCATCAGCTCCTCCTAGGAAGGACATCATTGGCAAAGGTACGTGATTGACAACTATGCTCAAGATAGAAAACTAGTTCAGATCTGAAACAACAAGGAATGCTAGCACAATGTTCCATTCCCATTTTCTACACTTTTCATCATGATCCCTTTCACCTTTGGTTTGAGGCTGCCCATCACCAGTCCTTTTGGAATTTCCAGTTTTTCTAGTTTTGTCTGGTTATCAAGGACCTGATATTATCTTTAACCCACATATAGGGTGGGATAATTTCTGAAAAAAACACCCTCCGAACTGACAGCAGTTGAGCAGAAAGCCACTCAAACCAGATTGACCCAAAAAGAAAATACGAATGATTGATTTTTCATTGTCAGTGACTGTAATAATTCAATACCAATACCATTATTGCTTTTCATCAAAGTTCCTGACATTTATTCTGAAATATAGAATTTTTTTAAATCAAGATGCCAATTTCAAGAGTTTCAGTAGCACTCAAACAACTTTTTCTTTTATTGCTGATGCACAAATTGGCTCACTGTCCTCTTACCACTGAAGTCAACAATTTTCCAAAGTTTTTTAAACCTCTGAACATTTTCATTTGATTGCATTACCTTCAAAAGAAAGGTTTAGTGCACAATTGTACCATGAAGTTAAGTTAGCAGATCTCCAGTCTCAATGACACTACAAACAACTTTCCCTCAAAATTCTGAGGGATCAAAACCTGAGAAAGTTCATTCCAATCATTGCCATAAGCCTTACCAACATCCTTAAGTGGATAATAGTAAAGTAGGACTTGTCCAGCAGAGTTAATGATTGGCTGAGGACCATAGGCCAGCACAGCTAGGATATCCAAACAGACATCACTCTTAAATCTCATCAGTGTTTCAACAAATTGTGCATGCTGTTTACAGTCAGGACAGTACTGTAAGATTGACATGATAAGGGCAGGGCAGCTGAGGGATGCATAACAAAGTCCATCTTCATCAGGCTCTAAGACATCTTTGAAACAAAAAAAAGAATGCAGAAAATTTTATTGAAACACAAATTTTGTACAGTGATTTTTTTTTAATTGTGCAACAAGCATTTGGAATTGGAGATTGTCTAATGTTGTGTAAACACATTTTATGAATTAAAGTATTGTTTCATTTGTGACATACTTCTAACAAAAACTGTCAGAGAGAACAAAAAATATAATTCTTAGTTTCTAGCAAAATGGATTAAAAGTAAACTTTATCTTTTAGTGAATTTAGGAAACATGGTTGTGTTGGCTTTGTGGACCTAATATACAGAGTCCAAATAACATGAAAACCTTTGAAAAATAATTAACTAACAGTACCAAAGCCAAAATAGTAATACCTACAAGTATTGGTAGTTAGAAAAAATGTGGATTTTAATTTTTAACTTTTAGGGCCATCAAGATTCTTATGCTGTAGAAATTCTAATTCTAGTGATTATCAACCAAAAACATCTGATTGCCATTATCATAACTATTGGTAAACATCTTAAGACAAAATTACCCAACAGAATGGGAAGAATGTAACCAGCCAGTAGTTTGATGATGTGGTTGTGAGTTTGTGGAGGCCAGATGGAAAGTGTCATTGCTAAACCCATCGGCATTGCATTGAGGTCTTCCTTCTTTAAGAAAGGAACCAACGATGCCATGATGGACAACACACTGTCTGCAAAAGCTGATGAAGGAGGAAAAGAAAACCATTGAGCTACTAATGAGAGTATTACTAAATGGTTTTAACCCCTGACTAACAGTTGGTTAAGTGGTCTGATTGACAGAGCAATCCTAAATTGGACCACCATCAATGGTAGTGAGTAACATCTGGTGAGCCTAGTTTGCAAAAACTAATCAGTCAATGTGGTTATTAGCTGCATGACTAACCTCTTGAGTCTTACAGCCAATAAAATCAAATAATGACTGACCAATCAGATTTTTCTCACCAGACTTATAAAACTTGACTAATACACAACTCCTAACTTGAATCTGATGGTGACTTTGGGTCAGGTTGTCCCATTGTTACTTACTGTCATCCACAACAGTTTTTTCAGGACTGCTCCCTACTGCACAGTCACACCAAAAGTTCATTTCTTATCACTGTATGGCTCAAATAAACTAGGCCAAGATTTTCAAATGAAAACTAAGGGGATTAACCAATTACTTTCTTTTGGATTCATCATTTTTTTTTCTGCGAGAACTTACAGTATAAATTACCTTTTAAAATGATCAGACAAACTGAAAGATTAGGGTCATATATACCTCACTCTTTTTTTGGCTAAAACACAAATTATCCACTTTGTCTAAACATGTACCTTCAACTCCAATCTCTACCACTGGAACAACGTTCACAATTTTTTCCAGAGCTTTGTAAAGTCCTGTGTAGTCCATACTGGGGTATTGATGACGATCAAATGAACGTTTATCTTCTGTCAATATAGGGCGGGTCTCTTTCACCAAACTGATGACGAACAGTTGAAATATTTACATTGTCTTTCTGTTACTAAAATAAATTTAAGTTGTATATTCCCAATCTAGCATTTCTTTGATTATGACAATTTTTAAACGATAATACAACGTGGTGATACCTTTGCAAAGTTTGCTGAAACCATTTAAGGACGTTGGCAACATCATTTCCTGTGGGTAATGGATATGTTCTTCTGTCCAATCTGTTGAATATTTCTTTCAGGCCGTGGACCTTGGCATTGACTGTGGACAGAGGTTAAACATAACTACCAGAGCAGAAGTGGCAACATAACAAATATTCAAGGTTTCTTTGTGGAAGGTGCCTAACACAAACATTCCTCATATTTAAACTCATAAATTTCTGCTGGCACCATTATTTTTCCAAAGGTTAACAGAATGATGAGGAAGGCATGCAGGCTCATTTTTGCAATTTGCTCAACAGCTATTATCTGCTGAACAGGATGATCAAGTGTAGTGCAACACCACAAACATCCAACACACTGTAAATAAAATAATAATCTAAATTTTCCTCCCTGAGACTGGATGCTGTAGTTTAATATAATCTCGATTCAAATTAAAATAATCGCGTTTTTCTGTTATTGAGGATTATGATAATGTATGTGGAACAAAGGGAAACACTACACATGCTAGGATGGAATCACTATGACCTGAAATTCATTTTTAAATACTACAACATGTAAATTATGCAGGATAGACACTAAATTGTCCGCTTTAAAATAAATATTTCAAACTGGATCTATGTTTGGAGCTGGATGAACGATTCTGTAAAAGTAAAAATTTCACATGCTTTGCCCTTGACTTTACAGCGGTCAATATATGATCATGAAGAAACCACGAAACAGACCGTATACATAGAGTAACATAAATGCGACATAATAAGCAGATCGACGCTTTTGTATTTTACTGAATCTACAGACATTCTTTGCATAATTATGCTTTGACGGTAACATCAGTGACAGTGTTCCTGACACAAATGAGCAACCAGTTAAAAACAATCGGCACAAATGCCATTTAGCACTGCACAACCTTGGTATTTAGCTGATTTATAAACGATACTAACACTGGTCAGCTCTTGTTGACTTAATATGCCTAGACATTATCGTGCCTCCTTGTTCCGCGGATTGTGATGATCAAGAAGAGCTGAAGATAGAAACAGCTGTTAGACCTCTCATATATATGCCGCCATCGCATAGAGGTCGAATGACAAGAGATCATGGTTAATCATGTTCACAGATGAGGTCTTTGACGAAGTAATTTTGAGCCGTATCTTTGCTTCCCATTGAACATAAAAAACCGGCTCTTGTAGCAACTCTATGAAGGACAATCGCGCTACAGACGAGCACAGAAATACAGGATATAAATTTACATAATGTTCCAAACAATTCTTTACTTTCACCTGATAACAATATGGCTGTTATGTAAATAACAACGAAAAGTCTCCTTAAGAACACTGGCAAAACATCGCCCAAAACAGCTTTTCTATCTTTTTTAAATGGAAAAGAATTATCACTTCTTAAACAATTTGTTTATTTGGTGTATTCATGTCTGATCAAATCCAGCTTTTGCGCCAATTTGCTTACTCGTACTCTGAATAGGACATTATGTGTACCGTACTCGTTATTAACCGAGTAGGAAACTGGTAGCGAATATTTGGCGCGAAAAGTAAAGTGCTGCAGTTTGGCCGTCTTCAAGATATTTTTTACCAAAAGAATTCCTGAACTTCTTATTCCCCCAAGAGAAGTATCTTCTTTTATAATGGTTGAGACGTTGTTTTCTCTAGAGGTACATGTGGAAAGTGTGGAAGATCTTCAAGTAGCATGTAAGTTACCAGCATTGTGCTTTCGTCTGTTGGATTTCCCAACGATGATAATACATCATGTTTCTCCTGTCGACGCCGAGAAATTACGACATAGAATTCGCATGGAAGGCAAAGATTCTGTACTTCATGCTCTAAAAGATCGCTTTGGAAATTTCCAGTTTCGTAAAGGTAAATCTTGCTTATTCAAAGCAAGCATAGACACTCTCCTGGTTCAACTACAAACTGTTCCTTTATATTCAATGTTGATGGATTTGTGGCCGAAAAAGCCCCTACTTGTCGGAAGCTCGTTGATTCCTTTAAAGAAGGCGATAAATAAGATCTCTACCGATGTTTACAAGAATGGCGTGGCTGTTCCCTCTTTTTACAGAGATGAGGGTGATTTTAATGTTTACAATCTCATGGGAAGTTCCATAGCGAACGTAAAACTTGGTTTTAGGTTATTGAGTTTGGGAGGGTCACTGATCCCTCACATTCCTACAGAAGCCTTGGGTGAGAGGATTACTGAAAAGATTGAAACGAATGGTGAAGTTGAGGAAGCTGTAAAGGGAGCTTTGGAAAAAGTATTGCCTGAAATTGAATTAGAAGATGAAATTACAGAAAACGGATTCGATACAAAGAGCGAACGTGATGCCAGAACTGTTAAGAAACCTGATGATAGGCAGAGTGTGGAAGTTCAAACAAATCTTCCTGTAAAAACTCTCAAAACTTCTAGAACCGTTGATAGAGGGAGAAAGACAAGCGAGGAAGATATAGTGATCACCAATACAGTTTGCCCTCCCCCTCTTTATTATAATTATTATTCTAATTCCACACCTTCTGGAAGGTTTCACTCAGAGGCCTATGGCAAAGGGATACAACAAAGTTCTTCATTTCATGTAGATCCAAGATGCATACAAGCTGTTGATCAAGGTGACAGTGCTGATTTGGAATTTTTGTATTATGATCCTGGTGTGGTTCAAACAGATGGAACTGCTAATGTTACATCAGTTTCAGTACAAACTGATGAGAAATTATTAAAACCACCCTTTGGACAACAGGGTGATACTGTGCAATCTGAATTCGATCTGTATAATCTACAAGGTGTTATGTCCGAAAGTCATTTGCCAATTTTAAACGCATTGCTTCAAGAACTTTCTTGTTTGACAAGAGCAGGTGAAACTCATCCCAGTTCATTAAGTGGGCAATCTCCAAGAATTCTGCCTACTGTTCATAGCAAAAGAGGTCCTTCAGGTCATAAAGGATCACGGAGTGTTCCCAAAGATGAAACATACAGAAAACAAAATGTTCAAGCAGCATCTCTGAAGAAGTCTCAAACATCGGTTATTGGTTTGCCAAGACAAAGAGTACGTTTCAAGCAGACAAGTCTCACTTACGGAATGACTAAAACTCAAAAGATGAGACTAGAGATGAATCAAAAGGGGAAATTACCAAACAGAACTAAACCTTCTGAAGAACACAGGGCTTTAACTGAAAAAGATAAGATCAAAAGAGAGCATGAGAAGATGCCTTTGCCAACAGGCAATTTAGGAAAGACATATAAAATAGGCATAGCAAAAAAGCAGACAAAGAGAGATACAAAGCATACAGCAGATGCACAGGTCCAAACGCAACAGTCATCCACTGAAGTACCAGATAATGAAAAAAGTGGGATTCCTGTAACCACATGGGTGATGAAAGAGAGCTCTGCATTAATTGATACTGAGGCAACTCTTCCCAATACTGACAGTGCAAGGAGTCAAAAGAGTCAAAATAGTCTGGAAATTTTCATCCCTCAGGTTGAAGGTATGTAAACTAAATATGACAAAGATTACAAACTACTGTTTTTCTGAGGCAGCCTTTGGGTAAGTCTCTAACATACTCAAATACATTAGAGAGAAAATCAACATGAGCACGACAGACAGTTATTTTGTTTGGCAAAGTCAAACTTAACATTTGGGAGACAAGACAAAACATGTTTCTACAGTGCCTTTCTATAAATTAACCTTCTACACTCTGACAACAGTATGCATATTCTCAATACTGTTCTCTATTCATTCCTTAAGCTGCAAACAAGGAGAATTTGTTTAACAATCAAGAGCTTCTTTAGATGGTGATCATTTCCTTTATTCTTGTGACCCTCATGGGTGATTCAGGGGAGACATTTTAAGAAGAAATTAGATGCTGGTTACTCTTTGGAGTCAAAGTGAGTGACTCCATTTCAATGATAGCTGCCCAGCATTATTTTTTATTCTGTTTCAGCCACTGATAACATTATTTTGATTTCAGGAGAACCAGAAGAGAGAAGTGATCAGGAAAAGGAATGGACCACTGATCAGGCTACAGCTGGCTTTTATGGTAACACAGGAATCTTAGGTGCAGAGCTGGATGATGTGCAAGGAAGCTCTGCCATGACCATGTACACAGAGGACTTTCAAGATTCTGGAACAGAGGGGTCACATGCATCATACCACTTAGCTTTCACAAAGAGTAGCAGTGTTGAAGGTGAAAATCTGAGGCAGAGATCAAATTCTGACATTTCATCTGCCAGTCAAATGTCTCAAGGTATTTCTGCAGCATCAGGAAAACCAGTCCTGTCATCTCATTCTCCAGTGAAAGCAAAATCCAAGAGGATACAAGGGAGGAGGGAGGGGGAAGCTGCAGTGGATGTGAAACAGAAAGTGACAACGTCAGAACAAGATTCTGTTGCTCAGATATCTAATCTAACCAAAAGTTCTTCTAGTTCATCCAAAAATTCTGATGAAAGAAGTGAAGCAAGTTATTCTGATGACTTCCACTCTGTTGGCTCAGAACCTGAAAAACAGAACTCCCAATCTTTATCTGATGATAGTATTGATGACAACTCTCAGCACACAAAGCTTAATCTTCCGCCTCCTGCAAGTAATCTGGGATATACTTATTAATCATGTCAACTGTCTTTGATCATTGCAATTGATAACCCTTTTACTCCAAAGATTAAGTCATGTCTCATTTCTCCTTTGTATATATGCAGTTTGGCAACAAGTATTAATTTTTAATACTTAAAATAACTTAAAAGCTCTACCCCTTGGACTTTTAGCTCAAACATAAGACAAGGTTAGGAATGCCGTGCTCCAAGCTGCAACTCCTTTGGCTATCAGGTGACTGAGTTGAAGAAAAGTTTGGTTACTAAATTGGCAGAGAAAAACAGATCTTTGACCTGTGTTTGGTGATCTTTTCACAATGCATAAACACTGTTTTTTATTTTTTCACACTTGCTGAGAGAAGTGTGTAAGAGTGAGGTGTTAGCAGGATAAAGTAGGGTAGTCACATTGATAATCACCATTTTACTCAGTGTTTATGGGTGTTTCTTGACAATTTCCCACAAGTTTTATCCTACCCCTATGATTTTAACTTTGGTGACCTCTCAATGGTTTTAGGGTTGCCAGTTTAAAAGATTTTAACTTGGAGCCCTTGGTGCATGGGGGAATGTTTTGTCATGGGAGGCATTCCCAAAAGGCAATAAGTTTTAGAAAAAGATTGATTTGAAAGGGGAATCTCAATAAGGGAAGGGACAGGTTCAGGTCAGAAACTCTTCTTGTTGGGAGGAACGAGTGAGAGTTACACAAACAACATATTTGACCTGATATTTGCTTGAACAACTTTATTTTGAGGTCTATAAGAAGTTGTGACAAGTATGACTGAACATTGTCAGTTATGTGTATTTATTTAACAATAGAACTCTTTTACTGATTTTACAGGAGTAATAATAATCTCATGATTGTGTGGATATGATGCTGTGGTTGGAACAATAATGCACATCCCCACTATCCAACTTTTGTAAAAAAATTAAGTTCAAGACAGCACAGCCCTCAAAGAAAAATAAAACACTCAATCAAGTCTAGACTGTTCATGTTTAAGTTAGGAAAGGTTAACAAGGAAAAAGACAGTATTACTTAATACCTTGTAACAAAGTCTCTATTTACAGTGAATTTCCATCTCAATGGGTTCCAAGTTCCAAACTCACTTTCAAATTTAGGCTGAGTGCACAAACTTTCTTATAAAAGTGAGTTTTAATAGTATGTCAACAAGAATCATTTTTTAATTTTTTTTAGTGGTCTCTATTGAACTTAAACAAACAAACAGAAGCCATATTGTCTATTTCCAGCTTCATCTAATGTGGTAACAGAAAAGGCAATTACCAAGGATAAACTGATGTCCATTGAAGAATAAAGACAGTCTCCATGTACATCTTACTTTTTAAAGTTACTAGTAAGTCACAGAAACTGAACCATGTAAACCTCTTCATGTGAATTCTAAACTCTCTCTAACTTGTGTTCCTGAGCTTTATTCAAATGAGTCACTGAGCAATTTCAACCCTTTGCGAAACTGTGCTCCAACAAAGTATATTTCAGGTCACATGCTCCAGCCTCTTGATCTTTGATCTTCAATAACGTGGTCTTTTCACATGTTACCTGCTAACAGAGATGTTTTGTGATCCATATGACTCTGCTGACAAGGTGATATGTTTGTATGTTTTACCATCAAAAAATTAAAGAAATAATTAATACACTTAATTAATAAGTAAGCAGAAATCTCTCTCTACAAGCTCATGAAGAATCCAAGAAAGTTATAAAAAATTCTCATAAATAGGGAGCACCACAGCCTAATAGTTAGTGCAGAAGACTTTGAATCAATAGTATGGAGTCCTAAGTCCTAGTGCCATCCTTATGTTTGAGATCTTAGACACGACACTTTGCTGTCACAGTACCCCTCTCCAACCACAATAGTTATGGCAAACTGTTGGGAAGACTTCAGGAACTGCCTGGAATGCTTGCAATGATCTGGAACTCCATTCAGTAAGAGTGGCAAGACTCCTACATGCCCCATGTTATGGAGACTGAGTTGAGTCCACTTCAGCATATTTCTTCTCACTCTGAGCTCAGTTTGTTTAATTTGTGGTAAAATTTACACCCTAGTAATGGTTTCTAAAGAGAATAGAAACTCCTTTGTCAACTCAACACTATTGGTGAGGTAGCTGTCCTTTCCGTGGTATGTGCTTTGTCAAGTAAGTCATGTACATACTTTGCAAAGTCAACAGGAAATGATGGTGCTCCTTCATATCCTAACAATAAGATAAAAGGATCTCTCAGGAAGCAAAATTAACAATAAATTGTTTACAAGAACTATGGCCCCAATTACTCTGAATGTACAATGTGGTAAATTGTAACAAAAACACAGACTCACCTGGAAAGTAATTGATATCAATAACAACATGGTGCCCTGTGCCTTTCTCCACAACAATGTCAATGCCAAACATTGTTAAATTCTGTTTAAAGAAAATAGACCACATTTTCATTAAATTTTTCCTGGAAAGACACAAAATCAGTGACCTCACTTTATAAGTTGAAATCAGCAAAATCATATGATATAATCAATTCTGCCAAGTTAACCAGGATGCACAACTGTCTATACATGTGCCTTTTTTCAAAGAAACTGCCAATACAAGAAAGAAGTTTCAATCCTGGTGAAGAAACTACGCTCAGGTTGAAAATTTCCCTTTTTGGTGCCTGGCCTTAAATGTTCAGCTCTGCAGAACAGACTGAAAATGGCTACCTGGCTACCAGTGTTGCAACCAGGGTTGATACATGAACTTAAAAATAATAATAACAATAACAATAATAATAATAAAAACAACAACAACAACAACAACAATAATAATAACAATAATAACAATAATAACAATATAGTTAAGAGAGAAAACTGATGTAAGGCTGGATAACAGGGGCACACAACAAAAACAGTGACAACACCAAAAATATTTATTTTTGTGATCTCAACTCATTTTTATGGTTGGACTCTCTCAAGGATGGCTGGTGCTAGCCTAGGTGATCCAGTAAAAGAAACAAAACCCCAACAAAATATCTTCACAAGCTCAGTTTTCAGTTCAAGGCACATTCTCTCCTCACTTGTGGGAATTATAAATTAATGAAGCTGGGTGAACTTGTGTTTTAACTTGCAGAAGCCTAATCCCACTCAGCAAAAATCCTTCACAAGTTTACAAGAAGGGAAGTATGAGACAACAAACTTGGTTGGTGGTAATTTGGCATTCCCCCATAAAGGTATATCTGTGATTGTGATAAGAACACTTACCAATTTTGGTTGAAGTTTCCTGACAAGTTTTAAAACTAAGTTTTCATCCAGCCCTATACTGTTTGTGCTATCACTATCATCATTGTCAAGCTGTACATGAACAGTCAACGTGAAAAACAAAGAGATTCAGTTTGCCAGTGAAATAAATACTGCAGCAATGATTATACAATACTACAAGCTGGGTTAGTACAATTACGCTTCACAGTTGATTTTTCAGCATCAGTTGCTTTGTTAAGTTGGGGTATTCAGTTGGTCTTGTTGCTTATTTCAATGTCATGGACAAGTCATCAGTGCCAGTAGTCACTGATTTGTGTTAAGAGGAGTATGTTCTAAGTTAGTGAACCTATTTTCAATTTTCAGAAACTGAAAAAAATTATAGCAACCCATAGATAAGGCCTAAAGTAGAGTCCCAGTCAATATAGAAATTTTTGGGAGTTACAAGTACTGTTGTCTTATTGTCACAGGGCTCATATCAGACTGTTTAGGATGTATTACATAAGACATGACTGGTATTACATCTACACTGTACAGCTGTACCTCACTAAGATAAGATCCTGAGTCAGGTTTGGAAACATCATGTGATGAAAAGAATATTGTTTTCATCTCTTTTGCTGATGAAAGAAAAACAAACATTGTTGTCATTTGTTGAAAGCTCAAAAACTAGTTCCTTGTTTGTATTACAATAACTTCAATCAACCACTGTATTATATTTTAGTCAGGACTTCAAAGTTTTAAAATAACTGGAGACAATTTTGAATCAATTAATTTCCTTTACTGAATAATTCTGAAGGACAGACTTAAATCAATCTTCACTGATTAAAAACATTCATGTTTTGTCTCTCATTGAAGTATTTTTAATCAAAACACAACATAATGAAAAATTTAAGTGATAAAATGTTTTCAATTGATTTCTTGGGAGGTTGTAATAAGATCAGTTAACAGTACAGTTAGAGATTTTTAACCCTTTAACATCTAAGAGTGACAAGCATCTAATTTTTCCTTACAATATCATGCCTGAATCAAACAGGAAAATCACGAGAATAGAGGAGATGATCACCAACTAAAATAGCTCTTGATTGTGAAACAAATTCTCCTTGTCAGCCTCTTTGGAAATGTGTGGAGAACAGAATGGATAATTTGCATATTGATGTTAGGGTGTAGAAGATTACGACATCTCTAAAATTTATAGCAGAGCTCACAGAGTGTAGCCCCATAATTATACAAAATAGTAGTAACCCAT